GACCTTGTTATCACATTTTTACATAGTAACATACGTTTCTAAAAGTAACATCTACGAGTAAAGTACTTAAACAGAATCTGACACGTTAAACAGATTAAGGTTTTGTTGGCATTTACAAAATATTGAACCAACCAACAGTGTTTTATAATAAAACATTATATTATATTTAGCTTAATGGTTAATAATAATTCTGGATAGTAAGTGGGAGTGTTGCCAAAAAGTGGGAACAAAAAGAATTTTTGACTTTTTTAAGGATACAATTATAAGGTTATTGCAATCTGATAGTTACACTGTACAATTATACTTGTAATAAAAAAGAACCTAGTAATTAATTTATTTTCAGCCGACAGAAACACGCGAACCGTCTGGAAAGCGCATTCATCCACGAAACACGTGTCCTGGGGGATTTTTCGTCAAAACTAGACACTTGGGGTAAAAAACAACGGTAAATATCTCAAATGGCTGTTATGTATAAACGTAAGAGGAATTCGATTGAAATTGTGTGCAGATCGTCAAGTGATAAACTCCGGAGAAACCGAGAGGAGGTGGTTTGCAGACGTCAGACGGAGTCCAGGTGTTTTGTCTTGTAATTTCCTAGGTGGTTTTTTCTTTCTCTACTGTTTGTCTCGTGTCTGATGCGAAACATTTCGTACCGTAATAACAATAATAATAATAATAATAATAATAACGTGTAGTATAACAACACAAATGCATCTGGCTGAATGCGCGCGCGATTGCGGCTGCCGCTGTTAATGCTTTAGTCGTCGATTATTGCACCTGGCAAAACGCTTTGAACGGGACGTCGATGGAAATCAACGGTGAACCGTTTTATATAATTTCCTACTTGCTCCAGAAGTATAACATCACAGCCGCCATTGTTCAAAGCCGCCGTATGCATTAGCGTTTTGGATGGACCAACGGTGACAGATGGCACATACCGCCCGTTTATATTGTTATGCCTTTTTTGTGCACGGACCGTACCGCTACATATATGTATTCTTCCACGTTTGTTATTTTGATGACCGCAAAATTCCTTAAAAAAAACTTTTGTTGAAATTCGTTTGGTTGGAATGAAACATGTTATCTTCCGATAGCCAATGCGTTTATAGTAAAAATACTGTAATGTACACGTACGTTCAATAATGACCAGCTATCTTCATTGTGCATTTGTAATAAAACAGAGCTACTATTTCTGACCATTACACGACAGGACTGGTCAAAACTTAGAAAACTCATAATATAATTGAGTTTTTTAAGTATTACACCATGTGATTAAAATTGTACTTAAATAATATTGCCGGTTGCAATAGTTACATAGTAAACACTTGAACATTATACAAATACATATTTTTTGATAACAAATACGACGGTTTTTTTTACTTGAAATCAGTATATTTTAAGTTTTTGTATTAAACAAATATAATTATACATGTTATTAGTAAACAGACTATTTGATTTATGAATTTACGCGAGTAGATCCAATGATCTTAAATTATATTATTTTATCATTGAATTTCTAAAAACAATTTTTAGCTTCGTTGCGAAGATGAAAAGGTATTGGTTTTGTGATGGTGTGTGTTCTTTTATGTCTGTACATAAAAAATCTCAGCTTTCACTTGGTCGATTTTAATGATTATTACAACTAAATAACCCGATTTTACTCTAGTTGAACTTCTTGAAAAGTTTTTTCATTTATATGGACAGTTCCAAGAAATAAGGAAAGGCAAGCGAAAGCATTTAGGGATCAAAACTTCGTATAGATTCAAAATTTATATAATTTTTTAATTACACAAAAAATTGTTTAACTAAAACTATACTGTAATAAACACTAAATAAAATTACAATGTTCGTTACAACAATGGATCAAAAATATGTCGTGTCTTTTGATCTTATTGTTAAAACGTGTTAACGTAATTTGTTTTTGTCTGGTTTTTTTGTAAAAAAAGTGAGATCTAAGGTCGTCTTGATTTTGTTTAAGTACGAACAGTTTAATATTTATTTGAAGACACGTATCATATGTTATCTATTAATTTATCAAATATTCGGTTCGTTTCTTCAAAAAATTTCTTTTCCGTACAATTTATCAAATGAAACTGTTTAAAAACGAGTTTCAGTACATATTATTCGATAGAAAATTGCATTTTATGTTTTAACAATTTACATTGATTTAAATTGAGACTAAGAGTATTCCAATTAACGAATTGAATAAAATTGATTTTATTTTGTTTAAGATAAATTATGACTGCAATATATATTTGTTACTATTTCAATGTATAATTTTGGTATATTTGTTAAATAGAATAAAACAGTTTTAAAATATTTTAATGGATATTGCAAAACATTTTTGTACGAAAAATATTGATTCGAAGGCGGTAGTGGTTTCAATAGTAACGGCTGCTGTAGAAGAGTATTCACTTTATCTGGTCGTCCCATTTCTCGTCGGTTTCTTTTTAGGGATACGTTTATATGAATCGTTTTTATGGTGTAATAATATGGTTCTTCGAATTCCTACACACATCGTTTGTATGTTTGCGCAGCATATATTGTGTTATTCAAATGTTAGCGTTTGTGGAGGGAGACTATTTCGACTGAACAATGTTGGTTACCTCGAGGGTATATGTACTGAACAGGGTCTAAGGTACGATCATCAAATGTAGACGAACACGCCGCTCATTTTATTCATACCCGACCCATTTAAGTAATAGCGACTGCTGTTAGTATGTTTTAACATACATCACTTAAAAACCACCTTTTTTATAATTAGAATATTATTAAACTGAAATTATTTTTTAAATAATACCTCTTTTATAATTCGTATTTATAAACCGATATGTATTACAAACGACTTGGGTCGTAGCGAGGGGAGGGCGAAAGATGCCCACGCCCCGGGCGCAACATTTAAAGGGACACAAAAATTAAGAAATTATAAAAATATTTATCACAAATTTAATAACGAAAATCATGTACGAAGTAATGTATAATTGTACTAATTTTAATTTAACATATATTTAAAGATGGAAGTATTGTTTATTACATTCTGCTACCACCATATAACTAAAATAAAAATATTATAAATAATAAAATAAAGAAAAGCATTTAGTTATAAAATCACATGTAAATCATTTGAAAACTGCGTTATTAAAATTAGCAAACGAAACATTTGTATGTGCGTCACAAAAAACTATTTTTAATCGTAAAAAGTTGTCTAATTTTCATGTGCAACATATCAAATTTATCTTTCAACATGATTTGCATTAACATTGTATTCAAATAAACATATGAATTAATAAGGATAAATAAAATTAGATTTTGCTGATATTCATTGTAAACAAATAGTTTAGAACGCTAGTGTAAGAAATATTCATAAAATGTATTGTATTAAATTATTTATCAAAAATATTTTACATCATAAATGGGTTTCGTTCAATGCATATAATTTTTAAAAGTTTTGATCTATAATTTGTGTCTTAATTTATTAATACTAAGGAAATAGTATATAGTTTAATTCAGATCAAGGTTTACTCCCCTGTATGGAAATTATACAGGTTGTGAAATGCATAATTTTAATAATTTTTTAGGCGTCAAGATGTTGTTTATGATAGCCAGTTTAGATTATATTTACATTGAGAGTTGATTAATTAAATACTACACGTTATTGATTAAAATTGTATTAAACGTAAACATATTATTAAATTTGCATGTTATATGTTATTGATTGAAATGATAAAGGAGTGTCATAGATCAGATGGCTTTGGGGGAATAGCACGATTCTATTGAGTATTCAAATTCATGTGCTTATATATTAGTACTTTATTATTAAAATAAAAATACACAGGTCCAACTACTTTAAGTTGGTGAGTTAAATTTTTTGCAGAAAACAAATCGAGTTAGTTTTGGCGTTACGCTTTCCCCAATATTTTATTCGAGTAATTGAACACTATAACTACACTTAAATTATCAGTTGAAAAAAATAATTTTGGTGTAATAATAATAGCATGACAAAGTAACAACTTTTTGAAAAACGCGGAGCAAACGGTTCTTAGTTTGCAACGGAACTGTGATTATACTTTTTAATTAAACTCGTCAATAATTTGTTTTACAAAAAATGTGTTAAAATAATATACAAATAATACGCTTTCTCATTAAGTATTGAATATTGAAAAAATCATCATTGTTTGGGTTTTTTATGCGACCCAGTAACCCTTTAAGACAAATTATAACCGCTGCACTAATTATTTTAATTAAAAAGAAATGAATATGAATGCATAACGGCGAATTGAGGCGAGTGCCAAAATGTAAATCTTTCTAACTCATGATTGGACCCAAGGAATATTAATTTCCAATTGAGCCTCTCGAATAGTTTTGATTTAAAAATATTGCCTATGGGCCTCCAACATTGGAAAATATCTGGATACTGCTAGCGATTGCTGAGTTATGTGAACTCATATATTTTAAAAATAAAATTTAATAATTGTTTTAGGTAAATTTTGAAAAGGAAATGTTAAACAACTAAAAAAAAATTACTTTTTCTTTATGCCAGTACATTAAGTATTATTAATAGTAGTATTTAGTTCATCATATGTATGCATAATCAGAACCTTAAACAAAAAATGTCTTATCAATAATAAATAAAAACGATGTAACATGCTCATGGTTATTTTATTAAAAAGAGATTGTACATAAAACAATTTTTACCGTTGTCAAAATTATGTATTTTAAGTACGTTATTATTTTAACATGTTGGGTTTCAGCTTAAATAACCCCTGGAGAGGTCTCGTTTAAAACATTTTTTGATTAAAGATTAAATTTAACCAGGACTTCATGAGGTATCGACCAACGAGTTATAAAATCATATTCGGCATTGGTATATTGCAACAAATATAGAAACTAGTACCAGGGACTTATGAGAATAATGTATGAATTATATGACTTGAGAAGGTGTCCAGCGACTCGTCGTGGCCCCAATGTCATCATGTTGTTAGTATAGTCTGGTGTCCATACACGGTTGTCGCTAGGCGACTCTAAAGAGCTGTCACGACGCGCGACTTTACCACATCGATAGAAGTATTTCATGATAGACGCAATAACATAAAGGTGATATATATATTTGGTGATTCTTTTAAATTTTAAATGAGTAATCGTTGCACGGTTTGTCGCTATTTGAGTGAGTGTTTGAAAACCATACCTATCACTTAATTAACAATTTGCAAGATCAAAATTATATCACTACATAAGATATCGTGGAATGAGCTTACATTTATAATGATTAGGTCGGATTGAAATTTGCGACGAATATCAATATTTGGTTATAGAAATTTATAAGGTATAATGCGATCATATCTCCAAGTGTCTCGGGAGGATGTTCAAAGTCAACTGTCATGTGACCCAACATTTTAATAGAATAATTGAACTTGTTACTTATCGATGATTCTCACGAATGCTACTTTTTCAAGATGTGTTATACTAATATTTTATTTTCATATGAAACTTATAATCTTTTTACTTAATACAATTAAATTATTTATTTAGCTTACAGCTTTTGTTTCTTAGAACATAATTGGTTGAGTGCAAAAAATACTTAGTTTTCTTATCCGAAAATGGAATAACTGTCATTTCCGCAATTTTCATAAAATTAATCTAGTCATGTTTTATCATCTATAGTTTTCCTTTTTGTGTCGAATGCTTAGAATTATCACAGTGCCTAGTCATTTTATATTATTGTAGTCATCTTTAGTAATAGTTTTGTCGTGGGCGCTCACGTTATTTCTCATACGAAGGATGTAAACTGTTAAGTCAAACGCGTCGGAAACAAGCATATTTGAAATGCCACCTACCCAAATCATACACTCAAACAATAAGAATATGTAAATACAAGTTTATTGGGTTGAAGGAGAATAAATTAAGGTCAATAAATTACTAGGGCTTTTGATCAACGTGATGTAAGAAGTCTATTAGTCGAAGTGGCATTGCGTGTACTCTAAAAAATTGTTAATTTTCATGATGATTGGTATTATATAATTAATCTTGATAGAACACATAATACGATTGTAATTGTACAATGTCTCATTTTCATTTTAAAACTAACAAATTATAAAATAATATAAGGTCTAAGAGTAACGTACTTGTCTGATACTAATAACTTATGAAATAATATTATTCCAGAGATAAACAAAAGGCATAAAAGTTCATAATCTTTTATATGCTGTATTTAATCAAAATATGAGATATCTTTATAAAATAATATACTGTATAATTTTATGTACTACAAAAATTATATAGTAAATCAAATTAGCAATGTGAACTTTACGTACCTGAAATCACACGATACAAATGTTAAAAGTATTTCATCAACATAATTTAGAGTTTAAGTTCGGAACTATGTTTCAGTTTTGCGTTATATGATAATAATACAATATCTTTGATTAAAACAAAACAATAATTATTATTTAAATGGAGTAGTAAATATTAATATTATTTTTTATAAAAGTATTTTAATAACAATAATTTTAATAGCACATTATTATTAGTTAACTTGTATTCGTTTGTTAACCCAACCAACAACTATTATTTTTAGATAATTAACACTTTTTTCGTTCAAAACTTTTAGAAAGGTAATAAAACAAGTAGGTTTAAACTAATCTAAGTTATATACATTTGCATTAATCTGAAAAATTAAGTTTACTAATTAATTTTTAGTTTTATTAGATCAGACCAAGTACAATCCAAACCAATCGTCACAAAAAATTATATTGATACAATTTTCAAACGGACCAAAGTCACATCTGTGACCACAGATTTAGTGATCATGATGAGCAAAAACATCTAAAATTGATAAAAGATGTTCCACTTAATGCTTTGAACAAAATCTAAACGATCAAATGGACGTAGTAGCTCAGAAAAATTAATAAAAAACGCTATAAAATAAATTGGAATATTCTTAAAATAAAATTCTGTAGTATAATCTAATTATAATACTTTTGAATTGAATAAAGACTATAGCTGCTGTTTATATTTTACCATTGCTAAAATATTTACAATTGTTTACAACACTTCGCGATAAAAATTGCACTCGAGACCTTGGGACTTTTTCCAAACATCTATTAATTATTTTAAATTAATTAATTCAATATTATGTAATTTTTTATACGTTTCAAAAGAAGTCAACTACATGAGTTATTTAGAACATAACTACTATGTATAATATTAAAAGTACTAAATAATGCATGTAACACATAATTATTTTCTCTCAGTAAAAGTATCAGCTATTATTAAGTAGTGTCACTTATCTTTGAACTATACAAGTTATAATTAACAATTTTAAATTGCTTCTTATCAATTTGTATTATTTAGTAATCTAAATATTTTAATTTTTAATTTTGATGTATTCATTGTTTAATTGATTTGTTGAATAATTTTGCCACGAGAGAGGATGAACAACCTTAATTATTAAAATCATTATGGAGATGATGATCTAAGCATACCCCATAGCATTTTTTATATGTATTACTATATCACAATGTTATAGTGGACTACTATATAAGCGTAGTTAGACTTACATCTTTTTAAGCCTATTTTAAATATTTCATTTATATTAGAATACCTAAAACGAGAACCTCGTTGAATTAATAACGTTTAAATAATAACTAACACTTAAAATTTAATCTTTCAAATTAGTAGGATTAATACATTTTTCATATTAATTACGCTCAATAGCTTATCATATTTAAAGTTTTCAATATATATATCATAAAGTTGTACAAAAATGTCAATTACCCCCCTAATCTACTCCAATTTGTCCGCCACTGTATGATTGGTCAATGGTAACGATATCAAATAGAAAATAGATATAATTTGGAGTTTTATGACTAGTACAGCCTTCGTTTTTAGAATTTTGTATTTGTAATTTTATAAAATGACTTGAAATAGTTGTCTTCGAAGTCCTGGAACATAAATTACCAACTCAAGTAATGGTGTTACAAATGTTGTTGTATTTAATTATAGTCAATAAATATCCGTACAATCATGCAAATTGTATATACATATATATATATATATCAGTTATAAATACATAGCTGCATACTTAATGTATCAACATATAACAGAAGATATAATTATTTAATTTCGAATAGTTGTATATGCTAATAAATAACTTTCGAATAAAAATAATTGGGTATAGAGGAATGTTAATGTGATGTAGATTTTTGTGATAACTGACTTCAAGCAAAACTAACTTCTCTAGAACTCTGAATGTTTGATAGGAACTGATAATTAATTACACGGTTCGTCGATATTTGTGAATTTTTATCTTCTTCGACACGCATATAATGTTTTGGTCTTTGCATTACAAGTGTATGCATATTATACGACATTGTCCAAGTGGTGCAAAACGTTTGAATGGGACGAGCAGTTTTCTTTTCTTTGTGAGAAAAATCAACCGGTGAACGCGCAGGTACCTCGAAAAATATTTTATTTGTTTCTTTTCTTCCGAATAAGGTAATCTCGCTCCCACAGATTTGGGACGATGCTACGAAATTGTGTACACGAAAAAGAATGCGACGACTGTGGACCGTTTTACTGCATCGTATAGGTGCCATTATCGAATTGCTGAGATACCGACGTGGCGCTAATCTAAAATACCCAAAACTATTATGTTCTTTTTCACCATCTTCATCGTCCCACATCTCGTCGGTTTCTACCCTTTTTATTATTCAAGAAATAAGAAACCGGTCGTGTATTACATAGACTCCAACGCCGTACATTTCATACCTGTCCAGGTAAATCTGAGACGTTTGACAGTAAAACCAGCTTTATACATAGTACGTACAGGAATCGATTCAGCTCTATAACATCAAACCCAACCAATCGCCCAGAGGATCATAACTATCGATGGACTTGGCCGCATAAGACCATTACAACAGCTGTGACTTGGGTGTCAATTATTGTCCCACATAGTAATAAAGTTACTTTACCGTGTCATGCAAATTACAGACGTTATCCGAATTAATACATGTGCCAGAACGCGTCGTGTAAAATAGTTTTTTGTTTTTTACCGGTAAGACGACCGACGTTGCGTGTTCGGCATCAATGTGACACCTGGTGGTCGCAATTCCTCAAGCATAGTGTTACAATAATTATACGAAGTTTGCGGCCAAAGACTTCCAGGCGAAAGTATCGCACAACAAGGTAATTGCTATGGTGATGGTATTATTTCATTGTCGCCAAGGTCATTGACAACAATAATTTGTGAATAATGCACATGACCATCATTCTCAGCATGATGCTTTCCTTCTCTAGTTACATTCAAACAAAAACAAACCGAGTAATTAAAATTAAATGAATAGTTAAACATTTTAAACGTTAGGTTTATCTTAGCAGCAAGCGTTGTTATCAAAGGGTATCGAAAAAGTAGTATGATTAATGTTTTACAAATATTCTGAGAATCACGTTGTAGTGGTACATAATATTTTATAAATATTTATAAATCCTAAAAAAAGTATCATATTTATAAATTATTTAAAGTGTTGTGAATAAATATCTATATAATTAATCTAGTATAATATTATGTTTTAAATTATTATAAATAGATATAATAAAATATTCTGTTTTAACACAATAAATTCACCAAAATATTAAGTAATAATAATAACTTTTTGAGTAATGATCTAAATATATTTGATCAAAGCTCGTTTTATAAGATTTATTGATATTGGCACGAGACTGACTTAATCAATTGATCTAATTAACCTATGCGTGTGACCTTTTTGTCATTTTACAATGATCCCGACTTTGGTCTAATTTGTGTGTAATCTATTCACAAAGTATTATACATGTTAATCTATAAATATAGTTGGTTTTCGGAATTTGTATAAAAAACTTAACAATTTATGTATAAGTTTTTTTTAAATAAATACAATTATCTAAATAGAGTAGACGCTATTAATATGCGTATTAAAGTATATAAAGTAATTATGCTAATTCTTTTGTTGTTAGTTTTCCAAACGATAACAAAGATATATGTAAATATCTCACAGCTAATTAGTATCAAAACATTAATTATTGTTGTTAAATGTCTATTTTAATAATATAAATATTACCAACATGATTTAGACTGGAAGCTTCTCAATAATTATACAAAAAATATTTAACGTACCTATTCAAAGTTATAGATATAAACACATCACAGACATTTTTTACTTGTTGTGGTATAAAAGTAAAATGAATATTGAAATGACTTGTTGATAGTATTCCCATGAGATTTGGAGTCAAAAAAGCGAATCCAGTCAATGACCACTGGAATCCAGATCTACTTATTTTTATCAATGAAACTTAAAAGCCAAACTAAACTATACACCATCGTTTTACACTTTATAACTTACGATTATAATGGCTGTGATTGAGACAATACTTTGTTGTTATAGCTGTTATTGCATCAGTTAATACACACAGTTTTAACTTGTAATGAAAAGCTACAGTTGTTAAAATTTATTTGAATTATCGATTTATTCTGATAAATATTATTGTTTCTCAAGTAATGAAATACATTTTTTTTACTACCAATAATAATGTGTGTTTATGAAAAAATTTAAATACATTAAGCATTTATGTATTAATCCCATCTTTGAAAACCCAAGTTATACTTTGTATAACGTTGAAAATTGTCAACTTAATTAAACTGGCTGGAATGCCCGAGAAAACTAAAATAAAATGAGGAAAAACACAATTTGAGTAAGAAGTGTTTCGTCCAAGATTAAAATTATATGCATAAAATTTATTCTTCCAACTAATAGATTGAGCGTAGACTGCTTTTATATTTTTATTTTATATTATGTAGACGAAGTATTGTGTACTTGATTCGCACGAAAACACAATGACACGCATACAATTTGGTATAATGAATATCAAAACCATCTCTAAAAGAATGTGTTCAAAGCATCGTACACAAAGCTGTTATTATGTTATTTATCTTGACAAAGATGTATTCATACATTGTTAATAATATAAATAATGTTAATTTTAATTCACCGGTCATTAATTTACACAACAGGAGCGGATTCAGTGGTATTTATGAAAGGAGCAAATAATGTAGAGCTACTCAAAGTATTTCAATTTGATGTCCAACGAATTAGACAAAACCACATACGGAACCATTGGCGGGGAAGGTCACTCCTTCCCCTAACATCCCCTCTGAATCTGAGCCTGCAACATAACAAAAACACGATTTCATGTTATTCGAATAACGTTTTAAAAACATAAACAGTGTGACAATCTTATTGTACAATAAGTGGTATTTTATCAACAATTCTAGTCTTTATAGTTATTAACATGTCAATTTATATTTTTCAGTTTAGTGCCAACAAATTTTTATTTTAATTAACTTATGAACATAAAAAATACTAGTTTTTTGAGTTCATATTTAAACTAAAATAAAAACACTGCTATAATAGGATTTGATGTATTACAGTCTAATAAAACAATAAAATTTTAAAAATATGTAAACGGTAGTATCTAGATTATGTCCCGTAGCAGTTAGTACAGAATTTTCGTAAACAGGTTAATTAGTCATATTTTTTACAACGAAAATCTTGAGATCAACGTAGGCACTCTCCTCACTTAAACGACGAGTAAAAATTAAAATAACGAAGCAACTCGTTTTTCATCTACTTAGTTCACACGCAAAACAATTCATTTCTCAGTAACACGCCTATTAAAAAAATGAAAAAACGAGCAATGAATTTTTACGTGTACCTGACCGACCAAGGCGTCGTACGTAATGGCCGGTGGTAGAATGAAGTAACCGCGATTGTACAGAAGGAGACAAACCGTCGGCAGACCATCGTCGCTTGAGATAACAGCAGCGTTGAGTCTCCAAGAGCGGTGGTGGGGCAAACAGCGGCGGCTTACCACGGACCGGGGTGACCGCACTATTCGACGGCGGGACGACCATCAGTGTACTTCCAACGTCGTACGTGGCGGTCTGTCAACCGGTTTTTAAAGTACGCGTGTTTACACACACGACATAGAAAATAACATGACGAGTTCGTTAACGCGTGTCGAGTGATCGTTTTTATTTTGTGTTTAAGTAAAGCGACATATTGTGAACAAACTGTCTGAATATATTTTAATCGTGTAAAAATGCCTTTGTTTAAATTATTGTTGCTGACCTGTGTCGTGGCTCAGACGACCGCTGCCGCTAGGAACAACAACGTCACCGTGTTCAGATGTTGTGGACCCGGCGAGACCTTAGACGAAACCGATGTAAACTATCGTTGTGTCGTCAATCCGTCGGAACCACTCGATTTCGTGCCAATTATCTTCGATCATTCCAGCAATCAGTTCTTAGCTCCCAACACTACGCCGCCGATGTATTTTCACATGGTCCAATCTCGCCCGCCGTGCCAACCGGCTTTCCTACCCGCAGCACCACCGGGCTCTCCGTCTAGTTACGTGCCGTTCCTCAATGGATCTCTGTGGGTGCATCATTTAACCAACCCGATGCTGGACCCCGGTAAGTTTTGTGTAGACAGGTCGGGTGCGCTGTTTTGTGTACCGGACGAACCCGATGCGGTGAAAAAATGCTGTTCGCGAGAGTTCGTGTACAGTGAACAAGAAAGAGCTTGCGTATACGCCGATCGAGAAGACGTACAGGGTCTGCCAGCCGATATCATGTTCGGGTTACCTCAGTGTTCGGAATTAGGATTAGTCGGTAGACTGAACGAAACGCATTGGACATCGAAAGACGGGCCCCCCGGCGCGTTACGTGCGCCAGACGGTAAAGTATACACTACCAAGCAGTATTGCTTAGAGCATATCCTAGAACAACCGCAGCATACGTTATGGACCGTGATAGCTTGTGCTCCTCAGGAAGACCATGTTATTAAATACCACGCCGAAGACACCAAGTTCACGTTGTATCCTCTAGGACTGTTGGTATCTGTCTTCTTCTTGGCCGTTACTTTGGTGGCCAGCTGCATGCTCCCTAGTACCTATCACGTGCTGCACTGGAAATGCCAAGTCAACCACGTTGGTTGTTTGATGGTCGGTGATCTGTTTCTGGCCATCGTTCAATTATCTGGAGAATCGTTGTATCGTGGTCCGTTTTGTGTTTTTACAGGTAAGCCAAAGCTTTCGATTGGTTAATAGAATTGCTTTGATTGTGATCTAAATATTTTTATATTAAGAAATTAAGTGTACTTAACTGGAATGTAACAACAACAATTAATTCAATACTTTCTTCATTGTCGTCTGTTTGAGATATTTTTATACAAACGAAGAAAATCAGTAATTTCGATAATTGGTGCCAGTTATCAATAGTTTTAATTTCGTTATCAGCTCATATCTACTGACTTATTCCATAATTCATGGACATTTCATATAAATTTAAAATATGTTAACAAAACGTCTAGTATAATTTTCAAGACAACAACTACATTGAAAATTTATAGTGTTGTGCACATATGTATTATTTCTGTAAATTTCTTTGAATTTGCAACCAACTACGGTGATGATTTTTATAAAAGACTTGGTAATAACGATACATACCAACACATAATAACAGGCCTTCGATAGCCCTTTTTTTATAACCTACACATAAAAGCATCTAAGTTGTCTCTATAGTAATAATGATTCTATTTTATGAAATTGGGGGAACCGGTGTGGCCCTTGCCGTTATATGGATGAATAGGCGGGAAAAAAACACATTTCCCGTTATTGTGTTGCGTTTCCCATTGTGATGATTATGGCGGCTAGTTTTTGTCCGTGACATGTGACGACCCGCGTGAAGTATTCCACAGGTACTGTGCCGTAGAGAAGAATTATTTTCATCAAATGCTTTCATGGGAAATATTAAAATATTTCAATTTTTATTCCTTAATTGTCATTAACTATTGACTATAATTATAATTTATGCATTTTTTGTTTTTTGCTTGCTAATGGATTTATTGTAATTGAAAAAAAATGTTGTAGTTTGCGTTTTTTCTATATTACAATCGATTTTAACCAACAAAGAAAATTATGCTAGTCAAGAAAGTGAAGTAGCAAAAGGTTTTTTTAAATTAATATGAATGTAACAATAGTTATTAGACTTCATGGTCGTTAATTGGAATCACAGCCTGTTTGTTAAAATTTCACAAACGTGCCAACTCGGAGGGCTGTGAATACTTTTAATATTAATATATTAATAAAATAATTTGACGATTTATACTATTATCTGGTGCTGTAGTAAGTGTGAAATACATGTGACGAAGACAACACAATTGGTGGTGGTAGCATTTGGTTCATTTCCAAATTTACAGTATTTTTCTTTTGCGTTTTTCTCCTGCGGTTTCTGTTGGGAAATATCATTGTTACTAATATTACTTATGTATCTTGCGGCGAACAGTTATTTTATTTGGACTTATTCCAAAGCATAAGTAGATGAGCATCGTTGATTTCTTCAAAAACAACTCGTGGTGACTGATTTTCAAAATTTTGATTTACCATATAAAGTCTAACCAAGACTTGAACGAATTTAACAGGAATATTAGATATGTTAATTTGTAATGTTTAACTAATGTTAAGACTGCTAAACGCAGAATGTTTTATATTGCCTTTTAAGCAGCCCATTTCAAATTATCCTCCATCGATTATTATGATTCCAATGAGTGTTTGTTGGTCTAAGGAATATATTAACCGATTGATTTTCTAATTAATCAGCCATTTATATCAATCGCCAATGATTTTGCTTGTGCCTTTTTAGACTGAATATTTTGTATCAAATGTGTCATATTATATGTTTAGGGATGAGTGGGTAGAATTCGTATATTTATTTGATATAAATTTATATTTGAGACGTTAATTATTTTATTAAATTGTAACCGTTACTTATCAAGGACCTTGTCAAGCGATTTGTGAATTATTTGACTTTGGAATGCTATGAAAATATGTCCACGTTGACGATGTCTAAGAATTAGTCGTGTTAAATAAAAATATATTCTTTTGTAGTCTAGTAAGCGTCGGGACAAAAATAAAATAACAAAAACAGACCGCGTTTTCAATTGTATGAAATTTTTTGTTGCCGATTGAAGAAAATAAATCCGTTAATGATTCGTCCTTGTCACATCTTGTATTAATAAGACTTTTGCCTGGCGGTCACGGTGTTACTCCACAGCCGGCTATCGTATACTTTTCATGTTTCCATGTTGGTGGCGTTTCTTTTGTTAATTATGCATAAACGACGGAGGTGTTTCAAGGTCGCTGGCCATAATCAAATAGGACTACATGGTTAATTTGTTCTGCACGGATATGGTCGGCCGAGGAGACTTGGTTTTATGCGTTACATCCGACGAAGAAACTCAACAAATAGCTTCTCCGACGGAAGACATTCTTATTTGATAATTTCAAAAAACTGATCGTGAGCTCAGTCGAACTGCGTTAAAACCGCGATCGGCTTTAGTTCGACACCTCTCTGCTTTTCATACTCGTGTAATGAAATATATACACCTCACGGATAACCGCATACGGACGCCGGCAAAGCGCGTGAGGTGTTCTTACTACTTGCACGTCAATAATTGTTGTTATTATTATAATAATATTAAGCATTCTTCGTATGCATGTGCGTCGAGAATGATACGGTAATTTCATTATTATTCGGCACGACCTTGTGAAATTGTGTGGCAAAGAATGCGACTTCTTCATCGGACCTCCCCTCAACTGTACGTTTACGAAATGTAATTCAAAAAATACTTCATCTCTAAGCGCCACGAATCAATTTTTTTTTTGCGTCTCGATAGTTTACCCAGACCGATTAGTCGAAAAATCATCTCTGATTTCTAACGCTCAAGTTACCAACCGTCGTCGTTAACGCAAAATAGTTGACATTTTATTTTACAATCGTAACTGTGCCTAAATTCAGTACTCGTCATCATCCCAAACGTGAATTCTTCCAAATTTGGATAACCAGTCAGTTCACAATCGTGTAATTATTTCGCTGGCATTCCAATTTGCTTATTCATGTAGACTTATCGCTGCAATAATGTTGAATGTTTTTTAGAAAATCCGTTCTAAATACACAGCCGATTTATTATTTGATAAATATTTGAAATAGTTTTTTAATTTTTATCTTCAAAATTTTTAGAATTCAACCGTTAGCAACGTGACATCAATTGAGATTTCATATGCGGACCGTATACACAAATTTAGTCACCTATTTGTTTATCCACCGTGATTCCTCTTAGGTCGTTATTTAGGTGCACTATTAACTTTAAGACTATTTCGTCGGCCGCTATAATGATACGGTTTGTTGTTTTTCTCTGTTAGTTTTGGTTACGGGTCGTTCTACAATTCCTAAAGTCTGAACTCCTTTCTAGTTTTTGCCTATTTTCTTAGATCTAATGAATGATACAAAACATCTTTAACACGTGATATTATTTTTAACGTTGTTTCGATTACCTCAATTATAATTAACCGATCGTTCACATATTATTAACTACATCCAAATTGTTGGCTCATACATTCCGTGTTGGCAAATAATAATAGGTATCGAAGAATTTTATTGACGACAAAATATAAAATACAAATTGTAACAATTTTTAAGCTATGGTCGAGTTTAGGGTATGTTTCGGACAACGATTTGATAGGTCATAAGCAATTCCGCGACGCTATTGTTTTTTATTCAAAAACTTAAATTGAATTAACGAATTCAGGAATGATAAAAATAAAAATTTTATTTTAGTGTAGCATTTGTTTAATGTTTACATACTCGCCGGATATCATCCGTCTTCACGCAGCAGCGTTAATCTGATGCACCAGAAGACGTAATGAAAACGACCGAGCTTGTGTTGTGGAGTCTACTCATATATTTTTTATAATGTAAACGCATAATCGATGTGTTAGACTTTCGTTTTATCAATGAAACGGCTCGCGTGTGTATTTACATAAAAAAAATTATCATGTTTATATACCGTATGGTTTTGTAATCGGTTCCCCTCACGCATATTTAAGACTCATGTCTACAAACGTTTATTGTTAATAGCGAACGTCGAGACGAGGCTAAAGGAAACTAACTCGCTCTCTCTGCTTCTCGCCTGGCGCTTATTGCCACTATTATATTACTGTTAAGCAATCAACCGTAAATATGTATGTGTATAGATGTGTGCACTTTCACCGGTCGTCGACGCGCGTTCCGGGAGGTCGCGCTGTCCAGTTCCTGTTTTTATCGAACAGTGGGTACTTTTTGACAAACAATATTTCTCGCCTGTGCATGTTTAACTGTGAATTTACTACGAACCGAATAGTCGTATGCGCACAGCGAGGAAAAACGTCAGTGTGATTTCCGTGGTGAGTCATTCTCAACGGCGAAAGTCTTTCTTCGAATTCTCGCCGTAAAAAACGGTTTATTTGTAATTCATTTTGAATCTATTTGGCTTATATTTTGCACAGCCGAGTTCGACAGATGTTTCCAATATTTTCAGTGCACCAAACGTGATGTTTTACTTGCGATCGTACGAAGTTTGAACGTTGGACGATGTCATATTAGCTTTCCCTACTAAACCAACCAATGAACGTTTATTTAAATTCTAGCGCGTTAAATTTCTTTTTAAGATAGCCTACAAAAAATTATAAAAATAATAATTAATTTCTATCGATTTTACGTATGACTCACAATTAATACGATCTTATCGACACGGTTATACAATTTTATTAGAAAATTGTTTAATTATTATATAGTCTTAATAGTTGGTTATTAAACGTAAATTAATCGATAATATAGCAGTTGATGGATTTATGATATTTGTTTTAATTAAGTCTTTAATTTATTCGTGAATGTTTTTTAATAATATTTGTTATTCGACGAAATATACAACGCACTATCATAGAATTTTCATAAAATAACGTTAACATTATGTTATGATAACAATATTTAATGATTGCACTTATCGCTCTCCGTTGTTTTACTTTTTTTAATAAAGAAAAGAAAATAGGTATACCGATAAGTAGTCTAGTACAATATATAGTAATGATTTCTATATTAATCTTTGTGGAACTCGAGATAAAGAAATTCTTGTTTGTGTATCGGTATTAAGTAGGTTTACACACCGAGTTAGTATTATAGCAATGTGATAGTGACCTATTTAG